TACCTATTTAAACTTTATGTAAGTTATTTGTTATTTTATATTAGGCATAGCCTACCCTATAGCATGGTGTATTTTTATTAGTTTTGTTAATAAAAGTTCTATGTTTTATATATAGGCTAAATTGAGTTTGACGTTGTATTTTGTTGTTGCATTCAAGCAATTGACACCGAATTGGCGCTATTTGAAAGTGAAAGTAAAATGGGCACACCGCTTTTACAAGCTATTTAAAAGCGAAGGATAGCGAGGAAAAGAGGAAACGTCCCTGTCCGTGTTGTCACACGTCGATTAACCGGTGGGAAAATTTCCTCACCGTCACAACCCTTCTCTTCAGTTCACCACACTCGTTTTCTATAGGGTTCAGCTCAGGGAACTGGGTTGGCAAGGGCAGAAGCTTGGTTTTGTTCTCAGTGACCCATTTTTGTTTTGTTTTTGATGTTTGTTTGTGGATCATTGTCCTGTTGGAAGATCCAACCATGGCCCATTATAAGATTTCTAGCATGGACAGTCAGTTTTTAATTTTTTTATCCATTGGTATTTTATAAAATCCATTATGCCATCTATCTGAACAAGATATCCAGGTTCTCCGGCAGAAAAATAGGCCCATAACATTAAAGATCCAGCAGTATATTTCATTGTACACATGGGGTACTTTTTTATCCCTGTGTGCACCAAACCCATCTTGAGTGTTTGCTGCTAATAAGCTAATTTTTTTTAGTTTCGTCTGACCATTGAACCCAGTCCCGTTTAAAGTTCCAGTCGTGTCTAGCAAATAAATATACTAGAGTTTGTTTTTGGATGAGAGCTTTTTCTTGAAACCCTCCCAAACAACAAATTTTTTTAATGTATTTTTTTTTCTGAGGCTTTCTGACCCCAATACTCGACTATTTTCTGCAGTTCTCCAGCTGTGATCCTTGGAGTCTTTGGCCACTCAAACTCCTCCTCACCGTGCATTAGGACGATATAGACACACGTCTACTTACCGTATTAGAGAAAAATATTTCATAATGTGATTTTCCCCCAGTTTCACTTTCACTTTTTTTTATAAGATTTATAAGGTTAGATTTTATATATTTTTTTTGAATGAAAGATCAAGTGGATAAACAATCCAGATTTATTTTCACAGCCTTCTTTGATCATATTTATCAAGGGTATGAATAATTTTGAGCACAACTGTATATACAGTCACTTTTTACTAGTGGGTGCAGGATGCTATAGTTCATTTATGTAAGTGAGGATAGCAAAATAAAGTAAACTGTGACATATTATACCCAAAAATTCTTCATACAGTTGATACCAGTAAAATTGATACAAATTTGGGACCAAAAATTATTCAGACACTTTGACCTGACCATGTTTTGCTTGTTATCTGACATTATCAAGGTAAATTTGTTCTGACACAGTTTAACTCTGAGTTCTTGTCATATTTTATTACCATTTTTTAAAACTATAGCGAATAAACTGTGATAATGTGTGAAATGTTGAAGCTGCCTGACTAAATTTTGGTTTGACTATATATATATATATATATATATATATTAATAATTTATAATTACAATTTGTATTTATTTTAATATTTCATATTTCAGAAATTTGAAATAATTTGAAAATGAATTAAAAATAAATTTAGAAAATAAATATATTTATACTTTACCATAGTTTGAAATCACAAATTTAAAGTTGGTCGATTACGCGATACATGCGATCATGCAGGATACAAATTCACACTTCACAAGATCACAGCTGGATTCAACTAAGTCAGCAAGGTTTGTGAAATGAAATGTTAATATCGGCCTTGGCGATGTATCAGTCGACCACTAATTACAGGAGTAAATTACATTTTAAAATTCAGTATTCATTTAATTCATTTTAATATTCAAATAGAAAATAGTTATTTTAAATTGTAATATTTCATAATTTTATTTTTACTGCATTTTTGATCAAATAAATGCAGCCTTGCTTAGGCTTCTTTAAAAACATGTCAGAAATCTTAAAGACCCCACACTTTTGAACGCTAGTGTATTTTAGACAGAATAATAGAGAATTTTTATATCAAAATAATTGTTGGCTTATCGGGATTGACCAGAATTTAAATATTTTAGTGTATCTTATTATTTTAGTGTAGCAGTCAGAGGGAAGTTCTGTCAAACAGCTTGACTGCTGTTTTAAAGGTCAACAAACAGACTTTCAGTGTGTGTGTGTGGGTTTTCTGGGTGTGAGTTTGCTGACTGTATCCTCTGAGCCCTCAATTGGTTTTCAGTTTTAATCTAGACAAACTAAAGGCGTAACTGCAGGGCCGGTTAAAAGAGCTGTAAGCCCCTGCTTTTATCCGTCTCTCACCGCTGCTCAAAGTGTTAAACTCCCAGTTATGAAATAGAAACGGCGAGGTTTGTGTGTTTGTTCCCCTGCGAGATAATCCCTTTATCCTCTAGCTTGGTGATTTAAGAGCCAGTCTCAACAATCAGCACCTCTGTGTGTTTACAGAGGAAGTGAAGTCAGGCCGTTTGTCCAGAGTAGAGAGAGAGACACTCCCGTCTGTTTATCTGAAACTGCTGCCCGTTCCTCCCTGTCTGTAGTCTTGATCTCCCACACTCACCTTGAATAATTTATCAGTAGATGAGGAAATTTGGTTACCTCTTCGGCTCGGTGTAAGTTGTGATATGTAAAGTGTCTGGATTGGCTTGGCAAGTGGAAGTAGCTATTGATCACGTTTGATAAATGCCGCCGCAGTTGCACTGTACCATTTTTGCAGTGTAGCACATTGCACTTCATTAGGAAATACAAAACAAATTAGTTATTTTTTGAGCAATGTGCTTGAAAATGCATAAACATCATGAAGCTTTTATTTGACTTTATAAATAAATTACTGTTTATATGTTTAGGGTTGGTAAGATTTTTTTAAAGATGTTTTTGAAAGACGTCTATGTTATGTTATGCTATATTAAAACTGCATTTATTCAATCAAAAAATATATTAAAGTCAGTAATATTGTGAAATATTATTGCAAGTTAAAATAATGTATTTTTTTAAATTATTATTTTAATATATTTTAAAATGTAATTTATTCCTGTGATGGCAAAGCTGAATTTTCAGCAGTCATTACTCCAGTCTTCAGTGTCACATGATCCTTCAGAAATCATTCTAATATGCTGATTTGCTGCTCTAGAAACATTTCTTCTTATCAATGCTGAAAACAGTTGTGCAGCTTCATATTCACGTTTGATAGATGCCGCCGCAGTTGCACGGTGCCATTTTTGCAGTGTAGCACATTGCACTTCATTAGGAAATACAAAACAAATTAGTTATTTTTTGAGCAATGTGCTTGAAAATGCATAAACATCATGAAGCTTTTATTTGACTTTATAAATAAATTACTGTTTATATGTTTAGGGTTGGTAAGATTTTTTTAAAGATGTTTTTGAAAGACGTCTATGTTATGTTATGCTATATTAAAACTGCATTTATTCAATCAAAAAATATATTAAAGTCAGTAATATTGTGAAATATTATTGCAAGTTAAAATAATGTATTTTTTTAAACTATTATTTTAATATATTTTAAAATGTAATTTATTCCTGTGATGGCAAAGCTGAATTTTCAGCAGTCATTACTCCAGTCTTCAGTGTCACATGATCCTTCAGAAATCATTCTAATATGCTGATTTGCTGCTCTAGAAACATTTCTTCTTATCAATGCTGAAAACAGTTGTGCAGCTTCATATTTTTGAGGAAACGATGAAACTTTTTTTGCAGGATTCTGATGAATAGAAAGTTCAAAAGAACAGTATTTATTTGAAATGGAAATGTTTTGTAACATTATAAATGTCTTTACTTTCAATTTTAATGAATTTAATGTATCCTTGCTGAATAAAAGTGTTCATTTCCTTCAAAAACCAAAATGTTCCTCACCCCAACCTTTTGAACAGTAGTGTAGTGTTGAATATTAACGCACATAAATATGCTATTGGTTGCTTTCTGAATAAATCTGAAGCAAAAATATGTTATTGGTTACTTTTATGTTTGCCAAGTAAACATAAAATGGATCATACATTTATGCTAAACTAAAAAAAAAATGTGGAGAGGGGGCTTTCATAAGTCCACCACATGCTGCTTGCGTCTGCAGATATGTTCAAGTATGTGTGTCTTTCTATTCCCATAGGGGTGTAGAGCCATACGACAATCCCACCACAGTGTTTGTCCAGCGCCACGAGCCCCAGGGAGACTCCAGCATCCTCAGCAGCACGGACTTCTTCCAGGACGAGCAAAACCGCCAAGTTATCCTGGAGAAGGTGGACAGCTTCCAGCTACGGGACAAGTACATGTTTGCCACTACCACCAGGGTAAGGGTGCACTGCGACCAGACCGAAGCTGCAAACTTTTGAAGGATAATTTGTAGCTTCAGTCTTTTATATAGCAAAAGATGGGAAGAATAAGCAGCACTGAGCTAGAGTTAAAAAAACGGAAAATGTGCAGAGTGCTGAGAGTCAGATTCGTGCCAAACTCCCTGAATGCCTCTCCTGTGAGTGTAAACACTCCTCTGAAGAGCTGGAGGAACGATCCAGCTCAAGATGAACAGGCAGTGATAACAGGCTTATTTAAAGCCTTGGAGTCAAGTGTGGAGGATTGCTGTTTTGTTTATCCAACAGTGAACTTCTGAACTTTGTGGCAAGATAATTTAGACAGGTGACCCTCTATAAGGTGTAGCACTTAATCATCTTGGCTTGTAACCAAAAGGTTGCAGGTTTGAATCCTTCAAAATCATAATCATTGTAATAGTTGTACTGTAGGTTGCCTTGAATAAAAGCATCTGCTAAATATCAGACTGTGAACAGAGGCAGAAAACTGTAAAAAAAAAAAAAAAAACGAGCAATGTTCAAAGTTATACAGCATGTTGCTGTTACGCTCTTGCTCTTTTCCAAAACTTAGCGAGCTGCCTGGAAGGCAATATTTAAGGCTTCCGGCATGAAGACTGTTCCAGAAGGTAGGCGGTTTAGTTATGTTGCCTCCTAAGAGGCCAAATTTTGGCCAGATTCTTAGGCAGCATCGTGTGTATCCTACACAGAGAGCGCAAACCCAGAATGCACTGCCACAAGCTTGATGAAAGACGAAATACAAGATGGTGAACTGGAGAAATGTTGATTTCTTGTATAGAATTGTTACAAAGATAGTTAAGGATAATTGAAAATGGATTAATTTGCATGTGATGTGTATTTTATGCTTATCAGGGCATTAGCTTAGCAACATGTTTAACATCAGTCTACATTCATATTGCTATAAAATTAGTATTTTGCAATTCTGTCTTTAAATGTACAGTATATTTTAGGGGTGTGAATCTTCACATTGTTTCACAATTCGTTTCGATTACAATTATCATTTCAACGATTCGATTCAATTTGATATCACAATGCGTTGCATTTTCAATATTACTGCACATGGCAAAATTTTCATATAAATTTTAAATCAACTTTATTTTGTGCATTTTATTAAATGATATAAGCAGGCTACTTTTTAAAATAATTACAAATTAATAATACATTTAACCAATTAAATATAGGTTCAAAACATTCAAGCAAATATAAAGTAAAAAAGGGGGAAAAAGACAATTACAAGTGATAAACAAAAAGTACTTTAAGTATCTGAGAGTGCTTTAAGTATCCAAAAGTTTACAGACAATCATAGCAGTGGGTTTTTCTTTTTTCCTCAGCATTATTGCTGTTTGATTATTAATGATGACATCGTAGACAGTGGCAGCATACTGCATAGGCTGCATTCACACACTAATGTACAGATCTGTTTTGACATATCAGATGTTTTGTCCTGTTCTGAAAACATAACTGACTGTGTTTACATCAGTTTTATATCATAAAAGTATTCGGAGATGCAAGTGCATTTAACCGCAGCCGCAAGCTTCAGGACGAAACAAACAGAAAGCGCACGTGAAAGTGCAGTCAGCACGTGAGTTTCGTGCATCTAATACATAGTGCATTCCAAACGGCATAAATGAAAGCTCCCAGGGACCCGTTCTTCGTACGTCGCTAACTCAGTTAGCTGGATTTGATTGTTGATGATTTGGCATGATCTTGGATTATTTGGTTCTTCGAAGCTCATCCTGGACTTGCTGTCATAGCAACAGGTCCTTAAGCTTAAACCTGCTCGGGAGCAGGCTTATTTCATGTAAACAGGATTAGATTGCATTTTTTTAAGTGGAACTGATATTTAAAATCTATCCCAGCCACTTGCTACTCTATTACAAGAGTGCCCTACTAATCCGGGGACAATCATTTAAAATAATAATAATTAAAAAAATGTATTTGAAAATAATATTATAATGCTGTGTAATCTATAATACTATAGACACAGCCAGTTTTACTCATTGAAATATTTATTTGTGTGTAAGCAACCAGCCTATAATGGTAAAAATCCACCCTTTTTTTTTATAATCCCCATAAATCAGAAGCAGTGTCTGAAAATACGCTGTTTCAGATTCACCCCTACTGTGACGTCACAGTAGGGGCAAGCCCCGCCCATGGCTAGTGACGATCTGCCCTATTCGCATTGACCCTGCCCTGATAGAACCACATAGTCCGCCATGTTTATATCATTGGTATAGCGCCTATTTACTAGGGTTGTGACGGTGAGGAAATTTTCCCACCGGTTAATCTAAATTAAATCTGATCTGTGATGCGACTGTCGTTCGGCACGCTGCATTGAGCAGCCGCGTTCAGTTTTTAATTGCGTTCAGTTTTTAATTGCAGTGTCTGTTCTTTTACTGAACTAAATTATTTTTATTTCTATAAAAAATCAAAACGACGGTGGGGGTCAGTGACGCGGTGGGCAAGTGACGTAACCGGTGCTGCGGCTTAACACGGGTATCACCGTCAGCACCGTCTATCGCGGCAAGCCTACTATTTACATGCTGTCTGTGCCACATAAGCGTTACAAATGTTGTTTTTGAATGTATAAATAAGAGTCTCCAAAGACTCACGGCATCTGAGCCACGGAGAACATTGTGGATGAATTTCATTTATGGAAGGAAATGTGCCAAAGAGTCTTATATATTTGTCCAAATCATTTTATGCCGGACTGCTTCGTAAACAAGGGTCAGTTCAACACAGGATTTGCACAGAAGCTGATTCTGAAAGATCTGTCAATACCAGCTGTTCATGCTCAAACATCATATCCAAAACAAGTAAGAATTGCCTCATATTTTCTGAATGTTTCCAAATGGTGTTTCCGGATGTGCTTGTTAGCATGCTGTACAGCTAATGTGGCTAAAATTTCCACTGTCTCTGACTGTATTCACAAAGAGCAGAGCTACGTCATTAGATTTATCCCGAAAACGATCACTCTCTGCATATTTCATAAATAATTTTTGCCATTTTGGCTGTGTGAGATTCTCCAGTGTTGTTGTTGATGGACTATCTGAAGTAGTGATGTCCGGTTTGCGAAAACTAATCGTTCGATTTAACCGTTTTTTCTCACCAAATCAGACTGAATCGTTTGAAACGGTTCGCGTCTCCAGTAAGCATTAATCCACAAATTATTTAAATTATTCACTTTTTTTAATGTGGCTGACACTCCCTCTGAGTCGAAATAAACCAATATCCCGGAGTAATTTATTTACTCAAACAGTACACTGACTGAACTGCTGTGAAGAGAGAACTGAAGATGAACACGAGCAAAGCAGCATGTGTGCAGGGAGCCGTATAACGAACGTACACACCCACTGCTGGAGCAGTTCTCGGTCTCGAGTCAAGAACCAGTTGCATCGGTTTTCGGATCACCGGTACACTCAACCGAGAACCGTTTCTTTCGGACACGTACAATTTGAGAACCGATGAGCTGATGATACTGTGCATGTGTGTAATTTTTCAAGAGGACGAAAAGCATGTTATCCAAGTATTTTGTTAAACATCAGAAAGTGTGATAATATAAATATATTTTATTTTACTTTTTTTTAAAAGATGAATGTATCTAATCTGTGTACTTTTTTCAGTTGAAGATTCTGTTAGGTTATAGGCCAAAGGGGTTTGTCAGGGAAGTTGGACAATAATTAAGACTGTTTAATAGGAATAATGGATGATTTATGAAATACCTGTACTGTAATTATAGTTAACGATGACACATTCACAAATTGAGTTTGTTGTAAATAGAACATGAACACGAGTAGAGCAGCTGATGATATACTGAACATGCGTGCAGCGTGCCGGTTAGAGCGGATGAATTGATTTATCTGCGTTTAATATGCCTCTGGTCAAAAAGCTTTTTAGATGGATGCTGAAGCTTTGTAGGTCGGGTGGAATCTGCGATCTCTGTCCGTTTGTTTGCTGGCTTACATGGCTGCAATGCACTGTGTTGAAATACAATTGGGTAAATTGGCAGAGGGCGGAATCACACAGACCAAAACAAAAACAAACATACCGACATGGAAAATACATTTCAAAGTAGAATAACTGGCTGTATTTGTTTTTTTTTTCAGTTTCAGCATTGTTTTTCTAAGTAACAAGTATTTGCATGTTTCCTATATATATGCAAACATATTAGGATATTTTTAAGCTTTAGTAAAGTCAAATTACATACAGCATCATTGACAATTATATAACAATTGGTTTTGTGTGTTTTTTAGCCTTTGAATTTAGCTTATGGCTCGTTTCCACTGAGTGGTACGGTTCGGTACAATACAGTACGGTACGCAATTATTTCCGTTTCCACTATCAGAAGTTGTGAATGGTACCAAAATAGCAAACTTTACCGTACTTGGTTATTGGTACCCTTCCATTGGGGTACCTACCACAGCAAAGGGTACCAAAAGGGTGGAGCTAAACTCACCACAGAACGTTGATTGGTTGACTAGAATCGCCACTTTTGCGTGATACAAGGGGATAAAGCGCCCTTCACTCGTTCCGCTCTGCTGTCCATGAGTGTTGGCCTTATTTACATCAGAGTGTGCAAACACAAAAAAATATAATCGTGTATTTTTATAATTTTATATTTTCACACAGACAATAGCCATTTCTCAATATGCGTTCTTGTCTGTTCTTGTGGACTTGTGAAACGTCATTGCCCAAAAACCCGTGTAATTTTCTAAATATTGCTGTTATTGTGTCATGAAATGTAGTTTTAAGAGTTTTTCAGGCGAGAATGTAATTGTTAAAACTCAAATCTGCGGTTTATTTATAAAGATAGCGCCTATATGAAAATTTGCTATGCCGATTTCTGAGCTCCAGGCGTGCTCATGTATCCGCATAGAGCAGCCTTAGCTCGGCTAGTCCTTCTGACATTTGCCGCTGGCTCTGATGTCTCTGTAGTGATTAAACATGAGATACAATTCGTTTTGGGT